CACTTGGCATTTTCATGAGGCCCTTGGTTCTAACCATGGTCAGGAAACTAAGATCTTACAAGCTGTACGTGTGGCAAAAACAAACAAAGAAACAAAAACAGAAGAAAATTATCATCTCATATGTAAGTATTAGACTAAATTTGAAAACACAAAGAGTAGCAAAGAGTAGTAAAACTCTTTATCTATTGGGGAAGAATATCTGAAAAAAATTTAAGACCATATTTAAGATCCTACCTCTATCAGTTCAGTTCAGTCGCTCAGTCGTGTCCAACTCTTTGCGACCCCATGAACTGCAGCATGCAAGGCTTCCCTGTCCATCACAACTCCCAGAGTTTATTCAAACTCCTGTCCATTGAGTCGGTGATGCCATCCAACCATCTCATCCTCTGTCGTCCCCTTCTTCTTCCACCTTCAATCTTTCCCAGCATCAGGGTCTTTTCCAATGAGTCAGTTCTTGGCATCAGGTGGCCAAAGTATTGTTGAAGCTGAAACTCCAATACTTAGTTTCAGCTTCAACATCAGTCCTTCCAATGACTATTCAGGACTGATTTCCTTTAGGATGGACTGGTTGGATCTCCTTGCAGTGCAAGGGCCTCTGAAGAGTCTTCTCCAATACCATAGTTCAGAAGCATCAATTCTTCAGCACTCAGCTTTCTTTATAGTCCAACAAATCAAAAAAAAAAAAATATTCTTGTTGCTGCTTTCAGCATTCTCTTCCACGAAAACCTAGAACAGTTTCATTCCCTTCACAGTCTCTGCTATGAAGTTTAAGAATTACTTTTTATATTAGCATATATTTTTCAGTCTTCATGTATTTTAACCTTTTTTTTTCAGGCAAAAATTCATCTTTAAAAATAAATACAGACACCTCTGCTATGGCAGATAATACCTTAGCCTTTGAAACCAGAAGATTTGAGTTCCAGTTCTGCTATTTGCTAGTTTTGTGGCTATGAATAAGTCATAATACCTCAAATCCTCTACTTCTTCTATTTTAAAAAAAGATGTGGGATAATAACAGAACCTATTACATTTAAATGAGGTGATATAAAGAATGCTTGGTATAATAAATTCATTCATTCAGGACAGCTTTCTCAAACTCTTAGAATTATTCTCATTAGGAATTATTAAGATCCTGTAAAAAACTCAGATAATTCAAGTCACAAACTAGTTTTAATTATTTTTACTGTTTTTCAGCTTTACTGACATATAATTGACGTATAACATTGTGTAAGCTTAAGGAGTACAACACGTTGATTTGATACTCTAATATATTGCAAAACAATGCCACCATAGCATTCATTATCTAAGACCTGCATTATGTCACATAATTACCATTTCTTTTGCAGTTAGAACATTTACCATCTAGTTTTGCAAGTGTATGATACTGTATTGTTAATTATAGTCACTATGCTGTACATTAGAGTCCCCAGAACTTATTAATCTTGTAACTGGAAGTTTGTACAACATTTCCTTTTTCTCCCACTCCTTTTTTAACCACAATCCTAGCTTCTGTTTTTATGAGGTCAGCTTTGTAAAATTCCATGTATTAACTGTATCATATGGTATTTCTTTCTCTGCTTGGCTTTCTTCACTTAGTACAATGCCCTCAAATTCTATCTATGTTGCCACAAATAACTGGATGTCCTTCTTTCACACTGGCAAATAATATTCCTATGTGTTTGTGTATGTGTGTATATACATATGTATATACACATATATATATCAATATATATGCACATCTTGTTTATTGATTCATCTACTGACTGTGGTGTTGGAGAAGACTCTTGAGAGTCCCCTGGACTGCAAGGAGATCCAACCGGTTCATCCTAAAGGAGATCAGTCCTGGGTATTCATTGGAAGGACTGATGTTGAAGCTGAAGCTCCAATACTTTGGCCACCTGATGCAGAGAGCTGACTCATTTGAAAAGACCCTGATGCTGGGAAAGATTGAGGGCAGGAGGAGAAGGGGACAACAGAGGATGAGATGGCTGGATGGCATCATCGACTCGATGGACATGGGTCTGGGTGGATTCCGGGAGATGGTGATGGACAGAAAGGCCTGGTGTGCTGCAGTTCATGGGGTCGCAAACAGTCGGACACGACTGAGCAACTGAACTGAACTGACTCTTACTTTGTTTCAACCTTTTGGCTACTGTGAACCATGCTACAATGAACATGGAAGTGCAGATATCCCAAGACCTTATGTTCATCTCCTTCAGATATATACTATGGAAGTGCGATTGCTGGGTCATATGGTACTTCTAGTTTTAACTTTTGAAGGAACCTCCATAATGTTTTTCACAGTGGCTGAACTAAGTTACACTCCCATGAACAGTTGATAGAATAATGACTAAGTATTGCCTTCAGAACTAAAAAATACTACCTTTTAACTAAAAAGCAGTATATGTTAAATTAAAGAAACATTTGCTAATTCAAAAATGAGAGAATTCCTTGGTGGTCCAGTGGTTAAGACTCTGCTTCCAATGCAAGAGGGGTCCATTCGATCCCTGGTCAGGAAACTAAGATCCCATGTGCCATGCAACACAGCCAACCAAATTAAAATAAATAAACAGATGCCTCACTTCCCAAAATTAAAAAAAAAAAAAGCATAGCCTCAAACTACAAATGATTGCTTACTTTATATAATTCCTTCCATTTATACCCATATGTTCCAAACGTGAATAGACTTTACAGCCTTTATAATATTTCATACACTATATATTGCATATTGCTTTTATTTAGTGGTATATTATCATCACTTCTCATGTAATAAAACATTTACAACATAATTTTTACAAGTTTTATAAGATCTAATTGCATGGCTATTCTATATTTAGGTAACCCTTTAATTCTATAAGTGTAAGGTCATACAGGTAGGCCATTACAATAGATTTGCAAGTTATATTTTTTTCTCCATGATTCTGATTTCTTTTAGCCATAATATTTATTTTGAAATTTCAAACAATGTTAGTGAAAGATGCTCACTCTTCTCCTCACCTTTGGAAGGCCTGGGCTAAATATGAGGGCTCAAACAATTTAATCAATGCTTCCAAGGGAAGATATGTGCTAAAAGGGGAGGTGAGGAATGATTTAACTAACCTCACATTGTTGGACATTTAGGTTAAGTGAGGGCTTCCCAGGTGGTGCTAGTGGTAAAGAACCCATCTGCCAATACTAGGTTGGATCTCTGGGTGGCTAAGATCCCCTGGAGAAGGGAATAACAACCCACTCCAGCATTCTTGGTCTTCCCTACTAGCTCAGCTGGTAAAGAATCCACCTGCAATGTAGGAGACCCTGGTTTGATTCCCGGGTGGGGAAGATCCTGAGAAGGGATAGGCTTCACCTGGGCTTCCCTGGTGACTCAGCTGGTAAAGAATCCGCCTGCAGTGAGGGAAACCTGGGTTTCATCCCTGGGTTGGGAAGATCCTCTGGGGAAGGGAAAGGCTACCCACTCCAGCATACTGGCCTGGAGAATTTCATATTGCATAGTCCATAGGGTCACAGAATCGGACACAACTGAACAATTATCACTTTGAGAGCCTCCCTCCTAGTTCAGTCGGTAAAGAATCTGCCTGCAATGCAGGAGACCTGGGTTCCATTACTGGGTTAGAAAGATCCCCTGGAGAAGGAAATGGCAACCCACTCCAGTATTTTTGCCTGGAGAATCCCATGGGCAGAGGAGCCTGGTGGGCTACAGTCCATGGGGTCACAAAAAGTCCAACACGACTGAATCGACTTAGCATCCATGCACTTTGTACTGAAATCTTATTAGAGTTCTCCTCGAAAGTGAAAGTTGCTCAGGCATTTCCGATTCTCTGCGACCCCATGGGCTGAGGCCAGAATACTGGAGTGGGTAGCTGTTCCTTCTCCAGGGTTCTTCCTAACCCAGCGATCGAATCCAGGTCTCCTGCATTGCAGGCGGATTCTTTACCAGCTGAGCCACAAAGGATGCCCTTAGGCTTAGGATAAATTCCAAAAGGCAGGTCTGTGGGGAAAAAAGATGTGAAAATTTAGTTTTAATACTCTTGCTACACATTGTCTAACTGCTTGCCAGGATATTTATGAGCTTATATCTTTACCAACATTGTGTGAGCAGACTCATCTTACACGTGTAAATAGGAATTTAAGATATTAAATTGTATGTTTTTTATTTGCATTTCTTACTTTTACATACCTTCATATTCTATTGACCTCTCAGAACACAAAAATACAATAAATTACTATCACTCACTTCCTTGGTTATGAGGTACCTTGTGACCGTGATTATAAAAGTAGCTTTCATTCATTAAACGTGAAGTTCTCTGCAGGCAGAGTCCAGTCCGTGGTGGATAGGCATTGCCAATACCTCATTTAACTCTCAAAACAACTCTGTATGGTTATTCTCATTTTTCACATGAGATAATCTACCCTTTGAGATATTGGGGAGAGTAGCCCCAAGTCACAGGGATGAGTTGAAACACGGGGATTTGGGCGGGGATCTCACACTCTTGTAACTAAGCACTTATGGGGAGGAGGGAGACAAAACGTGCAAAAAACAACAAAACCAAATCTGGTTCCCATCCACTTACTATTCCTTTCTATACTTAAGAGGTTCTAAATTAAAACAGATGTGACTTCTCAGCTACCAGACACGCGTCTACCAACCAGTTTCTGTCACTCCCAGCGTGGCGAGCGTCAGGGAGCACTTGAAGAGCTTGGACGAGAGGCTGCTCAGCTCAGGGAGCCTTTCCCCTTTGCAAAGGGAAACAGCCTGACCGAGGAAAATGGAGGGAGTACTACTATTTTCAAATCTTCCAGGGCCAGAGAGGTCAAATTTTACCGCTAGTTCTTGGGACACCAAGGAAATGAAATTGGGAGACCGCAGACAAAAACCGCAGCAGCCCTTCCGAGCTTTAAGAAGGCGGAGGAAGGACGCAGGCGTGGTGCACGCTTCCGGGCCCGGCGCGCACACACACTGCCCCCTCCCCCACCACGGCCCCACCGGGAGCGCTCTGCGCAGGCGCGGGCGCAGGTTGCAGCGACCGCGCAGGGCCTCGGCTGATGCCGTGGTGGTGCCCCACCCCCACCCCGACCCCGCGGCGACCCAGCGCTGCAGACCCGTCGCTCCCGCCCCAGCGCCCGGGACTGCGGACTCCGTGACCCTGCCCTCGGGCCTGTCCGAGCCGGAGCAGCTCGGGACTGCGCAGCACCCCGCGTGCCGGTGAGCGACCCGGGACGCGCAGCCCCCAGGTCCCCTTCACCAGCGGGGGCCGAGCGGGCGCCCCGGGAAGAGCCGAGCCGGAGGAGGAGGTGGCGGAGGGGAGGCTGCAGGGCAGAGAGGCGCTCCGGGCCGGGCGATGGAGGTGTGTCAGCTCCTCTTCCCCCGGCCCAGCCTTCTGCCAGGGGGCTCCGGGCTTCGGTGCAAGTCCGGCGCACGGGGAAGATACCAGGCCCCCACGCCTTGAGCGGCCGGTAGCCCTTAGTTCGGCTCTTTTTCAGTATTCTTGTCCGACTGCCTGTGTTTCATCTTTAACCTTTCCAGAGTCGGCAGGCTGCATCCTGGGTTTGATGTAGCTTACGAAAGGCGCCGACTTCTTTCGTTTAGAAGCTCACGACCTATTTAAATTGGATGGAGTCCTGTACTCCCCCCCCCCCCCTTCCATAATAAGCCTAAGATTCGTGTTGCTCTTAAGTAAATGAAGGGATTTTGATTTAAAAAACAAACAAACAAAAAAACAAATATTGAGCACAGGGGCCTAGTACCTCTTTATAAGTCTCCAAGAATAAAAGTGGTTAAACTTAGCAGCGCTTTGAGGATAATCCAGTAGGGAGGACAGGAATGGGCAGTACCTGACAAAGCCTGGCACTTGTCCATTAACCTTGATGAAACAAACACCAGTCCCACGCCGACTCTAAGGCAGCTGTTACATAAGGATAGAAAACAGACTCCGACTCAGAGCCTCTTGTTTTATTTTTTTGCCTTCTGTGTCTTTGCCCTTTAAGTCATTACAGTGGGAGGCACCCTATACCTCTGGTGTGTTAATTGCGATCCTAAAAGGGTGCGTTTGGCGCCCTGATCCCTGGTCATCTAGTATTCCACATAAGCCCAAGGTCAAAGTGTGTGCGGTCAGTGATGTTAATTCACCCCTGAACTACCTGTGACTGGCAAGTATTGGTTTGGCTTGCATTAAATGTCTTTGGGCAAAATCCAGAGAAATATATGCATTTTTAGAAGTCATAAGTTATTTATGTTTTTGAACTTAATGGGCAGTGTGTACATAGATTTTTTTTTAATACTGAAAACAAGCATTTTATTCATCACTCTGAAATTTTAAGTTGGTGTACTAGTTATATAATTTTTTATCCTGCTGTTCACCCTGTGTTTGAGTGACCCCAACACATGGATCACATACAAGTTTTAAAAAGTAGACTTTTCTTCATAGAATAAGATAAGTTGAATTATTTTGAGGGTCAGTTTTTCTTATTCAAAGCAACGAGCATTTTTAAAGACATATCTTTTTATGTGAATTCCTTTAATAATCTGTTTTAGGAAGTGATAAAAAATTTATGGTCACGTTTAGGAACAGAAGTGGATTGTTTTTAAATTCTGCTTTCACCCTTTGTTAATTTGTGCCCAGAATATCAACAGATTAAAATATATGGCTTAAAAAATTTTTTTTTTTAATCCTAAAATTTGTGTGAATTCAACTGCAGTTTTACTGCATTACTTACCTGTGGATGTTCTTTTGATATAGGCACTAGCACTTCGTATTTTTATTTGTCTTTAAATTTATATTTAATTTCCCACCTGCATTTTTGATACTGTTATCCTAAAAATTTGAAATTAATATTCAAAATTTTGCTGCTTTGTATTGGTGAATTATAGCCAATATTTTGGAATATTAATTTCTTAATTTTAACTTTCACTAACTGTTGAATGAAAGAAAAAAGTCTGAAGGTTTGTTTTTCGTATTTTTTTGTTGTTGGAAATGTTTAAAGCTAGAAATGTGAGCGTGAGAAAGATTGTAGATTTTGTCTATCACTTAAGGACATGAATTTTAAAAGGTGAAAAATACTACTTTGACATTACCTGGTGATACCTAGCTTTAATCTGCCCAAAGCAACTTTTGCTTTGCTGCTGTTTTAAAGGTAGAACATATTTTTGTTTTATTCTAAGAAAAGTGAAGCCCATGTGTTTCTTTTCAGAGAACTCTTAAGAATGTGTAGATTTCTGTCAAATTTTAATGCTATTTGAAAGCCCTTTGTTATCACAAGTTTGATATGATACCATTTCATAATATTTTGTTAGAAAAGCACTTTTGGACTCTAGTAAATGGCTCCTTTATTTCAGACATTATTTTGATTGACTATAATTCCAACCCAAATAGTTTGAATACTTCCTTAAAGATTATTTTAATTAATTTGATGAGTATAAATATCCTGTAATGTTAAGTATACTTTTTTTTATACTGAAGTTTACTGTAAGATTTTTTCTTTTTCTTAGACATGGGAAAGTCTTTTTCTCATTTGCCTTTACATTCAAATAAAGAAGATGGTTATGATGGCATTACATCGACTGAAAATATGAGGAATGGATTGGTTAATGGTGAAGTCCATAATGAAGATGGAAGAAGTGGAGATGTCTCTCAGTTTCCATATGTGGAATTTACAGGAAGAGATAGTGTCACTTGCCCCACTTGTCAAGGAACAGGAAGAATTCCTAGGGGTATGTGTTATTGCACTGTTTCTCCATTAAAGAATAATTCCAGGAATTTTCACAGTTACTTTAAAACTGATGGGTCTAAGCACAACCGTTTATGTTTTAAAAGACAGGATTAAAGTTAAAACTTCCTATCAGTTATCTTTGTCAAAAGGACACAAACATAAGGATAGCAATAATGAAAACCACCCTTCTACCTCCAATATTTTTTTCTTACCCTCCTGAAATTATAGCAGATATGCAGCGTGTCTTGACTGTAAAGTTTTAGTCCCGTTTGGTTTCAACAGAGATCAGGTCACAGTTGCTTTGCTATAGTGGGTGTTAGGATAAGTAATGTGGTGACCAAATATTTTTAATTTGTTGTTTAAAGAATAATAATAAGCTGGTCACACGCTAATTAGTTCTTTTTTAAAGGAACTACGTGAAGAGGGATGATACATGAAGATGAGCCATATGGGAAAAAAATCAGTTTGTGCCTTGTCATGGGAGGAGTCAGTAGGGTGTAATCCCCATGTGCTGTTTGTAGGTTACTTTAGTAGCAATGGAAGTAAGGAGAAATAATTTAAAAACCTTGTACTGTTCTCATTTACTGCTTGATTGAAGTCGGTATTTGACCCTGGAGAGATGCTGAGGGAAGGCCAGAATGACAATACCTTTGCAGAGGTAGTAGCTATTTGAGAATTAAAGGATTATTGTAGTTAAAGGATTAACACGCCAGACTGGGGACCTGGGGAGGGCTGGAGTCTCAGTGTTGCAATCTAGATATATTTTTGAAGTATAGCCAGTAGGCATTTTTGGCTGCCTGGATGTGCATTGTGGATAGTAAGGTGAAGGATGATCTTGAAGATATTTTTGTCTGAGCAGCTGGAGGACTGGAGTAGCCACTTATTAAAATAGAGAAAAGGTTTGAGTATATGTATCAGGGGAGAGAGCAGGAGTTCAGTTTTAGATATATAAAACTGGAGATGCACTTTTGACATCTGAGTCGATTTGTTCAGTAGGAAGTTAGTTATACTAACGGCCTGAAATTCAAATACACGGCCTAGGCTGGAGTCCTGTCGGTGTAGAGATGATACCTAAAGCTAAATTGAATGAGAGCACCAAGGTTGTCAGTGTGAATAGAAAACAGAAGAGACTTTAGCACTGAACCTTGGAGCATTGCAACATTTTGAGGTCGGTGACATGAGGAGGAATTAGCATAAGGACTCTAAAAAGAGCAGCTCCAGCAGAAACAGGAAATCTCTTTGTCTGCGGTATCCTTGACGTCAGATAAATGAAAAAAATGTACTCCTTGGTGGGGGAGAAGTTGGTCAACTATGTTAGATACCCCTGATCAGATAATGTGAGGACTTAGCACTGACCTGAGGATTTGGTAATTTAGAGGCCAGAGACCTTTTAAAAGAGCAGTTTTGGTAGCAAAGAAATGCATAAACGTGTGTAGAGTGGGATCAGGAGTGCATAGGAGGCGCAAAGTTATATCGTCAGAAGAGAGCTTTTTTTTTAGTTTTGTTGTGCAAGAGAGGACAGGACACAGGTGATAGCTAGAGGGGACTGTGAGGTCAGGAGAATTCTTTGAAGATGGAATGGATAATGTGTTTGTCTGCTTATGAGACTGAGCCATAGAGAGAACACTGCTAAGGCAGGTAACGGAGTATTGCAGTGCGCGGGCACAACGGGCTCCTCCACCAGAGGAGCATGGCCAGTTTACTCCTAGCAGGAGGAGGGGTGGAAGAGGACATCGGTGCACAAGCAGGTGAGGGGGTGGATGTGGTGGTGGTCGCAGCTTGGTGGGAATTCTTCTGTCTTTGCCGCGTCGTGAACTGAGCGTAAGGACAGGGGAGAAGACATTGGAGGTTTGAAGAGAGAGTTGAAGTTATGAAATTGTAATTGGGGAGAGTCAGGTTGAGAGTATGACCTCGGGAAATATAGTGTAAGTGTTGGCATTATTAAAGGCCACTTGAGATTAGTGATCTAAAATGAGACTGTTTTTCTCTGTCTACATTTAGCTGTGTAGATACAGGCATAGTAGCTAAAGGGTTAGGTTTAATCAGTAGCCATTTAAACAGATGAATAGTACCAAATAGGATATGCATACACACTCATCCACAGATACATATTTATATGTGAATACGGTAGGGGAAGTATGAATGAGGGGAGACTTGTGGAGGGGGCAGGGAGGTATAACAAAAGTATTATGGAAAGCTTGAAAAGAGAATTTGACTATGGGGCTTTGATAGTTAATATGAAGAATCAAGTTTTGATAAGATTGGAAAATTGGCATTTAGAGGTCCATTTATTCATTAAGTGAAAGTGTTAGCCTCTCAGTCATGTTTGACACTTTGGTGACCCCATGGACTGTAGCCTGCCAGACTCATGGAATTCTCCAGGAAAGCATATTGGAATGGGTAGCCATTCCCTTCTCCAGGGGATCATCCCAAATCAGGGATCGAACCCAGGTCTCCTGCATTGTAGGCACATTCTTTATCGTCTGGTCCACCAGGGAGTGGATAGTGGATAATGCTCAACCCAAGAAAGAAATATTGAATTTTGAAGTAACTTAATATAGAGAGAGATGTCCTGAAAGAGTACTGAAAGAGTCCTGGAAGGCTATGTGTATGTTTGGGTTCTTGAAGCCTGAGAGTTAATATATGTCAGTTTTGGTTTTCAAGGGGAATAGTTTAAGAGCCTTTGTAGTTACAGGGCTTTCAGACACAGCAGTAACAATATACTGCTTCTGTGCTCATTCAGATAACCCAGATGAAATCTTGATGGAAAACTGGGTGAAGGAAAGCCTGGTAAATTCATATCTGAATGCCTGGACTTTGTGATTTTTTTTTCCCCCCACTGGAAAAAAGAATAACTCTTTATCATTCTTCATAGTATTTTGATTAGCTATAAATACAGGTATGAAAAAACAGTGTCTGCTTTGGAGCTCAGCTGCTACTGGATAATTTTTGAAGATCTTGAGAGAATTTAATAAAGGAATGAGATGAAAGCCAGATGGTTTTCTGTTCTTTCCAAACCAGACTTTGATGAGGAGCCATTATACTTTTAATTAATCATGTTAATACATTTCTAAATCTAATTCTTTTAGGACAAGAAAACCAACTAGTGGCATTGATTCCATACAGTGATCAGAGATTAAGGCCAAGAAGAACGTAAGTAATCATTAGAACATGGCAATTTTTTAAAAAATATTTTGCTTTTCAAATATGTATAAATAAGTATTTTAGTTAAAACTATTAAAAGGAAAAATAGAATCAGGTTAAGTTATGCCATCATATCCATTATGTCATTAGAAAATAAAAAAGATTCCTGATTGCATAAGTTCTTGAAAGCAGTGTAGTATCTAAATCTTAAATCTGTTATAAAACAGATAGACCTAAAAGAAGCAATTAGGTCTCAGTTACACAGAGACAACATTTTCATCAAAAATAGGTGTTAAGGTATTCCCACTAACTTCAGAATATGTATGGTTATTCATACCATGATGACATAAGGACCCAAAAGTGCTTGGCAGCTTTGTGGAGGTTGTGATGAAACGCAAAAGGAGAGTTCCTAAGAATTCTTGGAAAAAGTGAATACTTTATCCCAAAGAAGAGGCCCCCACTCAGAAGACTTCCAGTGAATTTCCTCTGAGAATATCCTGTTAACATAGAAAATCTAAAAACTCTTTAACTTGGAGAGAATGCACAAAAGTCCAGAGAGATACACAGAGGGGCCTTGAGAAAATCTAAAGGAACTGGGCCATCCTAAGTCCTCAAAGACCTTAAGGAAACTCAACAGAAACTCCTACAAAAAGGAAGAGACAACCTAAGGGAAAAAATTACTGACAGTAGAATCCAGGTTGTATAGAACAAGAGTAGGGATAAAAGAGAGAAGAGGTTCAGAAACTATACAGTTAGTCCCAAAACCATAGAAGTGGATGTATGTAGAGACCATCTAATACTTTGTGTAACAACAGAGCATGGAGTCCTTGAACAGTGAAGCTATGAAAGCAATCCTGGCCCATCCTCACCACACAAAAGGCAACTTCTCTTAAAAGTACAAAAATGTATCTAATTTAAATATGAGCATTGAAAAAAAAAATCACAGTCAAGCATCATACAAAAGTTCAGTCGCTCAGTCGTGTCTGACTCTTTGCGACCCCGTGAACCACAGCACGCCAGGCCTCCCTGTCCATCACAAACTCAGAGTTTACCCAGACCCACGTCCATAGAGTCGGTGATGCCATCCAACCACCTCATCCTCTATTGTCCCCTTCTCCTCCTGCCCCCAATCCCTCCCAGCATCAGGGTCTTTTCAGATGAGTCAGCTCTTCTCATCAGGTGGCCAAAATACTGGAGTTTCAGCTTCAACATCAGTCCTTCCAATGAACACCCAGGACCGATTTCCCTTAGGATGGACTGGTTGGATCTCCTTGCAGTCCAAGGGACTCTCAAGAGTCCTCAACACCACAGTTCAAAAGCATCAATTCTTCGGCGCTCAGCTTTCTTCACAGTCCAACTCTCACATCCATACATGACCACTGGAAAAACCATAGCCTTGACTAGACAGACCTTTGTTGATGAAATAATGTAGAACTGATCAAAATACTAACAGATTATAAAGCATTATCAGAAAAGCAGATGAGAACTTTAACTTAATGCTTCTGTGTTCTGAAAGAGATTAAGGAAACTATGGAAGCTATGACAGTATAACAAAAAAGTCAAAAATTGAGGAACTCAGAAATAACAGTGACTAAACCATAGAAGGATATGAAAAGAGAGTCTACAGGGCCCTGGAAAGAATGAGAGAAAAATAATTTTGGAGATGAAGACAAACAGAAAGAACACAGTACAAAGAGATACCTTGGAAAGTGCACTTAGAAGACAGAGTGGATACAAAGGATGCAGTCAAAACATTCACCCGTGCGTGCACACACACAAACAAAAATTAATGAAAAGTACTTGAGAGAAAGTGGTGCAGAACACAAGCCAAGGAGATCAAGCATAGATGTAACTGGAGTCCTTGAAGAAAATCAAAGGAGGCAAGCTGAAGAAGGAGAAAACGTTTAACTCAAGATCACTTCCTTGAAATGAAACAAGACATGAATCTACACTGAAAAGACATACCATAGTTTTGGAAATAACCCATCTTAGTGAAATTACTGGACTTCAGAGGTAATAACAAAAAACTGAATAGCCCCTTTGAACGCCCGAGCAAAGGACTGATTAATTTTAAAAAGGGATAGAAGATCAGATTGGCATGTTCCTTCTTGACCACAATGCTTTAAACACATAAGCAGTAAAACAGCACACCAAGTCTTCTTGGAAAGAAAAATGCAACTAGGATTTATACACAGTCAGTCTGACCCTTTATTATATAATTTGCAGATAATTAAGAATGTCCAAGAAATTTAGAGTTAATTTCTTAATAACCTCAGAGTGGAGCTGCTTTCCCAACTGTGGTTTAGAATCCAGCAATAGAAGAATAGATTAATAAATTTGGATAAAATTTAAAAAGTTAATAAAAGTGTAGGTTAACTTTTAAAAGATGAAAGCAAAAACAAGATGCAGATCAAGTCAGGATACAAATAGCAAACTAAGAAGTGGTATTTGCAAATTATTAGTAGAGTTCCAATATCCTTACTCTAGAGTTTCACAGTTTGAGAAGAAAAAGGCTAACCATACAAAAAGTAAGATCTGTGAACAGCCCGTTCACAAGGAAGAAAAGCAGGTATCTTTTAAACATGAAAAGATGGTGAATCTCACTCATAGGAGAAATGCAAATTAGAACAGTACTCAGGTACCATTTCTTGTGTATCAGATGAGCAGAAGTCCAAAATTTTGACAGTGTTATTTTGTTGGCAATACTGTGTGAAAACGAGCAGACTTGTGCCTTACTGCTGAAGGCGGGATTTGGCCTTATCTGTCAAAGTTACATACACATTTACCTTTTGGCTCAGGAATTGTACTTAGAAAAATTTATTCTAAGGATTACTGTCAAATACAGTGAATAGCATTTGCACACGTTATTCACTGTGGCAGTATTTATTTTACCAAAAACTATAGATAATGTAAATGGCTACTAGTAAGGGACTAGTAGAAGAAGTTACACTAGATCTATATGATAAAATGGAATGAGGAAGAACTGTATTTTACTATAGCATGATATCCAAAGCACATTTTTTTTGAAAACACACACAGGCATGCACACGGAGAGAGAGACAATAGAATGATAAACTATAGACTAACAAAATTGATTACCTTCAGAGTTTGGGACAGAGCTTTGAAGAGGAAGCAGGTAAGCAATTTAGATATCTGTGTGTACATGTATATATTTCTGTTGTTTAGACTTTAGATCATGTCCTTTTTTTAATATCACTTAAAAGATTGTATCAAAAGTAAAAAAAAAAGCAGTTCCTAAAAATTGAAACAAACTGAAACAATTGATTCTAACTGGATATCCAGTTGATAAAATAACCACAGATTTTCACACACAAGTGAAAATTCCATTTCAGTAAATTCATCAGGGAGTCTTGAAATCTATACTTTTATAAAACTCTACAGCTTGATTCTAATGAGCAGCCTGCTTTGGGAATTACCACAGTAATTGTTCTATCTATAATAAGCCTGAAATTTTAGTCTCCAAAAAGATAAATATGTCTTTTAAGAAGAACATTTTAATGCTTAATAGAGTCAAACCTACTCTGTTCAATACTTTTATAATGTAAAAAGATAGTAAAAAAAAAATTATACATCTTTTCCTGCTGGTGTAATAGGGGAAAAATTGAAAATGAAAATGTCTTCTCTGAATGTTTAATTATGTACTTTTTGATGCATGTATGTTTAAATATTTCACTTTCCTTTTTTTTTTCCAGAAAACTGTATGTGATGGCTTCTGTGTTTGTCTGTCTGCTGCTTTCTGGACTGGCTGTGTTTTTCCTTTTCCCTCGTTCTATTGACGTGAAATACATTGGCGTCAAATCAGCATATGTTAGTTACGATGTTCAAAAACGCACAATATATTTAAATATCACGGTAAGAACATGTTTACATTAATATTTGACTTCATTCCTTTATTTTTAAAAATTTTTTATTGCGAGATATTTGCTTTAGAGTATTGTGCTCGTTTCTGCCATACATCAACATGAAGACGTCATTCCTTTATCATGTTGAACAACATCTTTGTCCTTATTGAGAGAGCATGAAAGGTAACACTTTAATACTTGGTTTTCTTTCTTTATGTCTGATGTATTGACCTTTTCTATCATCTGTGATTCTGCTGAAAATGGCAAATTCTGTGTATTCAGAATCCTTAGCGTTTGAAGATGCCTTTGGGAGGGTAAAATAAAATAATTAACTGGGAGAAAAATTGTTACAGTCTGTTTACTTTTCAACATTAGACCCTCAGTTGCTCCTAGCAAGATGTTAATATAGTTGATTGAATAGCTGTTACATTTTCATGTCCTTGTGTTTTGTGAAACACAATTTTTGCTGTCTTTAACAGACCATTTGTTTGTTTTCAAAGGTAGTGAACAAGTGATTGACTTCTCTTGTAAATTAGTATGTGTGAAAATCTTTGTTTCTCAGGACAGTAGTTTTTAGGATTCTGCAGCCTTCCCACACCTGAAAACAAGCAAACAAAAGCCTCAGAGAAGGTCTTGTACCTGTTCTACATTTATGTAAGCATGGTTTGCAAATCTCTGTATTATTAATAAGGAAGATACATTGCTTCTGGCTTTAAGGTACATCTGTGTGGCAGTGATTTGTTTGGAAGGGTGATAGTGGATTTCATTCGTTTTCCTTGAAGAGTTGTTTGTTGTGCTAGAGGTTGAGGTAGATGTGCCTGTGGTGCTGGTTGGGAGTAGGGGGGTTGAGAGAGATAGGGACTGAAAGGGAAATGTGTGTTGGGTAGAATTGCTACTTAATTACTGGAAAAAAAGAATTCACATGGATTTATTTATCCTTCTTTTTAAAGAAGAAACTTGAATTAGCTATACTCTGTCAACTATTTCCATAACATTTATGTTGTATTCACAGCTATGTATGTAGCATTTATACTGTATTAGATATTAGAAGTAATTTAGAGATGTTATGTGGAGGCTGTGCATAGGTTATATGCAAATATACACCATTTTATATCAGGGACTTGAGCATCTGCAGGTTTTGGTATGATGGAAGCTTGAGTGGATGGGATAGTTGGTCCTGAAACCAATCCCCCATGGATACCAAGAGATGACTAAACATACATGTGCTAACTCTGTATATAAGCATTTCCATGCATATATTTACACATATACATTTTAAAATGGAATTATATATAAAGGGTACACACATATATGTGAGTGTATATACATGCACGTTTTCACTTAATTTATCTCACTGCATTTTCCCATATTATGTGATTGCATGTAGCCTTTTACATGGCCATATTACAATTTTTACTCAACCTTCTTAATAGTTGCTTAGTTTTGATATTATAAATATTTATTCCAAAAACATCTTTGTGATTAAACTTTGTGCTTCCATTTCAGGTTATTTTTTAAGGATAAATTCCTGAAAGTAAATTTGCAGTTAAAGATCATAGATAGTTTAAGGCCTTTGATAATAAATCATCATTATTTAAAAGCCTATTACTTCAGTTCCTTGCCTTATAAATTAAATGGATTCTCACTGTTTTCAGCAGTAAAATTTTTTATTTTTTATACTAAACTTTTTTGTCCTGTCTTATTTTTTGTTGTCTCTCTTGATGTTTATCTTTGTGTTATCTTTTTAACTACCAATTTATCTTCAAGTATTTCTGTTTCCAGCCTGTTTTGCATCTTTGACCCCTTTAATATTTTAATGAAAAGTATGGACACCTCATCAGAAAAAATGTGTACCAATATTAAATAGGACTCTAAAATTTTCCTGGATCCTATTCCTTGGTCTTTATCAGAGGGTCCATTGACCTTAAATTTGCAATTTTTTACTGTAGTGTCTAGAAATAAATGGAGAAGGACATGGCAACCCACTCCAGTATTCTTGCCTGGAGAATCCAAGGGACAGAGGAGCCTGGTGGGCTGCCGTCTATGGGGTTGCACAGAGTCGGACATGACTGAGGCGACTTAGCAGCAGCAGCAGCTAGAAATAAAATGATACTGGTATTAAGAGCCAAGTAGGTGAAAATGTTTATATATTTAGAGACAGGTTATTTCTACTATTTTATGGAATTTTAAAACATTTCTCTACATTTAGCAAAATGAATGCATAAATGTGATCATAAAATTGCTGGTTGCTAGCACATTTTTTTTTTTAATCATTTTTATACTAAGACCATTTTCTATCTTCTCTTCACTTATCCCATGTTGCCTCATTCCTTATCTTTCTCCATATTCATATTAGTTTACAAACTCACATGTTCAGCTTTTCTTAAATCATTATTTAGTTTTAAAAATAATATTTTCTTTATACTTTTATGCATCTTGGTTTTCTCAGTTGTTAATACTTTGCAGGAATCACTCCTGATTTTCTGCTTATAGTTCATTCATTCTTTTTAATGGCTGCATATTATTGCGTGTAATAACATAATATTATTTTTCAAGCATTCTACTTTATATTGAACATTCACTTTATTTTCAAGATTTGTGTTTTGTTTTGTTTTTTTGCCACTACAAATAACACTGTCATTAATATCCTAATGTTTTTATTTCTGTGGAATAATTGCTCAGAAGTAGAATTGCTAGGTCAAAGGATAATACATAATTTAAATTTCAATGAATATTGCTGTAATCCTTCATATATTTTCCAGGAATGCAAAAATACACCCTTTTGCCCATATCCCTGCCAGAAATAGAATCCATCATTTTCTATAACTTTTAGTTTAGTGGATATAAAACAATATTTGACTTTTATTTAAATCAACTTTTCTCTCACCATAAATTAATTTGACAAATAGTGTTTCTTGGCCATTTATATTTGTACTCTTCTGATTTCTTTACTCATATCCTTTGCTCTTATTTTTTTTTTTAATAAGAGGCTTTATGTCTTTTCCAGTTTGTAAGGCCTCGTAGTATAGGTGATAACCATTACTATCTCTTCCAAATATTTCTTCAAGATTTATTATTTAATGTTTCGTGATTTTGTTTATTATTTCTTTTGTTAGCACTATTTTAGATGTTTGGTTATTTCCTGATTTAACAATTTTTCTTTTCATTGACTGTTTAATTTCAAACAGTTGTTTAAGTTAGAATTGCAGGAGTTCGGCCCAGCTGTTAATTAAGTGTGGAAATGATGCAGCTATATTTCTTTTTATCAAGTCTTGAATCTGTCCCAGTTCCTCTTAAAAGTGACCTGTTGGAAACCTCTACTCATGTATAAGTTAAAAATTTTTTATTTAGTTTTTTTAAAATAGTTTTTTTTAAATAGTTTATTTAAAGTTTTGCTTAACATTTTAAAAGGTTGTCTTTGTATTCAGTAGAATCAGAAATAACTTAGCCTGTGAAGACATGTACATACTAACATTTAGAAAAATTTGGATGGAACTTTAGAATTACTTTTATTGAAAAATAGAAAAGTAATTTTCCTCGGGGACATACAGCGTGTTGGCGTAAGCCCTCTTGGAGGAGGTAGCCGTTAGCCCCACCATAGAGCCTGTGCGTGTAGTCAGTTAGTTGTGTCTGACTCTCTGTGACCCCACGGACTGTAGACTACCAGGCTTCTCTGTTCATGGGATTTCCCAGGCAAGAATACTGGAGTGGGTTGCCAGTCCCTTCGCCAGGGGTTCTTCCCCACTTTGGGATTAAATTTGGGTCTCCTGCAGTGCAGGCAGATTCTTTACCATCTGAGCCACCAGCCCTACCACAGAGCCTGCAGACTCCAGGGCTGGCCTCCTCAGGCCAGACAACTAACAGGGAGGGAGCACAGCCCCGCCCTCAGCAGAAAATTAGATTAAATGTTTAGTGAGCCCTGCCCACCTGAGCAAGACTGAGCTTTGCCCATAGCCACTCCTTCCCATCAGGATGCTTGCACAATGCTCTTATTCTCATCCATCAGAGAGCAGACAGAAGAAGCAAGAAGTACAGCCCCATGGCCTCCAGAAAGAAAACCAGAATCACAGAAAACTAACCAAAATGATCACATGGATCATACTCTTGTGTAAATCAGTGAAGCTATGAGCTGTGCCGTGCAGGGCCACCCAAGGGGAATGGGTCATGGTGGAAAGCTCTGATAAAACGTGGTCCACTGGAGAAGGGAATGGCAAACCACTTCAGTGTTCTTGCCTTGAGAACCCATGAAGAGTATGAAAAGACAAAAAGATATGACACCAGAAGATGAGCTCCCCAGGTTGATGTGTCCAGTATGCTACTGGAGAAGAGTAGAGAAATAGTTCCAGAAAGAATGAGGAGGCTGAGCCAAAGCCCAAAGCAGAAATAACGCCCAGTTGTGGATGTGTCTGCTGGTGAAAGTAAAGTCCAATGCTGTAAAGATCAGTATTGCACAGGAACCTGGAATGTTAGATCCATAAATCAAGGTAAATTGGAAGTGGTCAGGCAGTAGATGGCAAGAGTGAACATCGATATTTTAGGAATCAGTGAAGAAAAATGGAAATGAGCAAATGTAATTCAGATGACCATTATATCTTCGACTGTGGGCAAGAATCCCTTAGGAGAAATGGAGTAGCCATCATAGTCAACAAAAGAGTCTGAAATGCCATACTTGGGTGCAGTCTCAAAAACCACAGAATGGTCTCTGTTGGTTTCCAAGGCAAACCATTCAGCATCACAGTAATTCAAGTCTGTGTCCCCAAACACTAATGCTAAAGAAGCTGAAGTTGAACGGTTCTGTGAAGACCTACAAGACCTAGACATAGACCAAAACCAGATGTCCTTTTCATTATAGGGGATTGGAATGCAAAAGTAGAAAATCAAGAGATACCTGGAATAATAGGCAAGTTTAGCCTTGGAGTACAAAATGAAGCAGGACAAAAGCTAACCGAGTTTTGCCAAGAGAATGCACTGGTCATAGCAAATACCTCTTCCAACAATGCAAGAGATGACTCCACATGGGCATCACCAGATGGTCAGTGTGAAAATCAGATTGATTATATTCTTTGCAGCCAAAGATGGGGAATCTCTATTCAATTAGCAAAAATAAGACCTGGAAGTGACTGTGGCTGGGATCATGAGCTCCTTATTGTAAAATTCAGACTCAGGAAAGGAGGGAAAACCACTAGCCCATTTAGATAATGACCTAAATCAAATTCCTTATGTTTATACAGTGAAAGTTACAAATAGATTCAAGGGATTAGATCTGATAGAGTACCTGAAGAACTATGAACAGAGGTTCATAACACTGTATAGGAGGCAGTGACCAAAACCATTCCCCAAAAAGATGAAAGAAGGCAAAATGGCTGTCTGAGGGGGTCTTACAAATAGGTGAGACAAGAAGAAAAGCAGGAGGCAAAGGAGAAAGGGAAGGATATACCCAACTGAATACTGAGTTCCAGAGAGTAGCATGGAGAGATAAGAAAACCTTCTTGAGTGAACAATGCAAAGAAATAGAATAAAACATGGAATGGGAAAGACTAGAGATTTCTTCAAGAAAATTGAAGATACCAAGGAAACATTTCATACAAATATGGGCACAATAAAGGACAGAAATGGCAGGGACCTAACAAAAGCAGAAGAGATTAAGAGGTAGAAGAATACATAAAAGGACTGTACAAAAAGTTCTTAATAAACTGGATAACCAATATGTTGTGGTTATCCAAATGTACAATCTGGATTTAGAAAAGGCAGAGGAACCAGAGGTCAAATTGCAGACATCCGTTGGATCATAGAAAAAGCGAGGGTATTCCAGAAAAACATCTACTCTGCTTTAATGACCACTCTAAAGCCTTTGTGTGGATCACAACAGACTGTGGGGAATTCTTAAAGAAACGGGAATACCAGACCACTCTACCTGCCTGCTGAGAAACCTGTATGAAGGTGAAGAAGCAACAGTTAGAACTGGACATGGAACAATGGACTGGTTCAAAATGTGGAAAGGAGTACCTCAAGGCTGTATATTGTCACCCTGCTTATTTAACTTACATGCAGAGTACAGCATATGAAATGCTGAGCTGAATGAATCCCAAGCTGGAATCAAGGTTGCCCAGAGAAATATCAAAAACCTCAGATGTTACCAGACTTATGGCAGAAAGCAGAGGACTTAAAGAACTTCTTGATAAAGGTGAAAGAGGAGAGTGAAAAAGCTCACTTAAAACTCAACATTCAGAAAACTAAGATCATGGCATCTGGTCCCATCACTTCCTGGCAAATAGATAGGGAAATAAATGGAAAAGATGGCAGATTTTATTTTCCTGGGCTCCAAAATCACTGCAGACAGTGACTGCAGCCATGAAATTAAAAGACACTTTTTCCCTGGAAGAAAAGCTATGACAGACCTAGATAGCATATTAAAAAGCAGACACATCACTTTGCCAACAAAAGTCCATAGACTCAAAGCTATGGTTTTTCCACTGGTCATGTATGAATGTGAAAGTTGGACCATAAAGAAGGCTGAGCGCTGAAGAATTAATGCTGTCAAGCTGTGGTGCTACAGAAGACTCTTGAGAGTCCATTGAACAGCAAAGAGATCAAACCAATCAATCCTAAAGGGAATCAACTGAGAATATTCATTGGAAGGAGTGATGCTGAAGCTCCAATACTTTGGTCACCTGATGCCAAGAGCTGACTCATTGGAAAAGACCCTGATTCTGGGAAAGGTTGATGGCAAGAGGAGAAAGGGCCACAGAGGATGAGATGGTAAATGGCATCACTGACTCAATAGACATGAGTTTGAGCAAACTCTAGAAGATAGTGAAGGACAGGGAAGCCTGGCGTGCTGCAGTCTATGGGGTTGCAAAGAGTTGAACAGAACTTAGCGACTGAACAACAACTTTTATTGAATTTTTGCTAAGGCCACAGATACATTTTATAACGTTGATTTTTCTATGTGCTGGTACTATACATTTCCTGGGCCGACTCTCTAAAAGTGTATGTTCATTGTAGGCATTTTATATACATAGCACTCATGCAAAATCCAAATAATTGGTTCATTGAATGTTCTTTGATGTTTTGGGGGACAGTTTACTTCCTCCTGGTAAATGAAGCATAGCCACAGCTGGAGTCATTTTCTCTATTAATTTTGAATACTTCTTTATTATGCCTATTCTAAGACAACTTGCACATTTTCTACCTCCTTTCTTTTTCAGAATACACTAAATATAACGAACAATAACTATTATTCTGTTGAAGTTGAAAACATCACTGCACAAGTTCAGTTTTCAAAAACAGTTATTGGAAAGGCACGCTTAAACAACATAACCAGTATTGGTCCACTGGATATGAAACAAGTAAGCTTCATTCAGAAAATACTTTGGAGGAGTTAAATGCATCTCAACTTTGTATATAATATTAACTTTCAGGAGATGGGGGTTTTCCTAAAAAATTAGACTTTGAAATGTATCCCATACATATGTAAAAGAAAGTCATAGAATCAAACCCGTAAAAAAAGAGATTTCCAAACTCTCAAATATGTCTGAAATATTTGATATTTTGATACTATTCTCTGTTGGTTTATTTTCATTTTTTGCCTTTCAGATTGATTATACAGTACCTACCATCATAGCAGAGGAGATGAGTTATATGTTGTAAGTTCTGATTTTTAATTATTTTCTCTCATTAAATTATAAAGAATAAGTGTGTGTATGTGTGAATATATAGGGCTTTCCTGATAGCTCAGTTGGTAAAGAATCCGCCTGCAAATGCAGGAGGCCCCAGTTCAATTCCTGGGTTGAGAAGATTCACTGAAGAAGGGATAGGCTACCCACACCAGTATTCTTGGGCTTTCCTTGTGACTCAGCTGGTAAAGAATCTGCCTGCAGTGCGGGAGACCTGGGTTCAATCCTTGGGTTGGGAAGATCCCCTGCAGAAGCGAAAGGCTACCCACTCCGGTTTCTGGCCTTGAGAATTCCATATACAGTCTATGGGGTCATGGGGTCACAAAGAGTCTGACATATATGTGTGAATATATATATTTAATGAAAATATGTGTTTAATTTTCCATCATTTTAGCAGAGACAAGACCACATTTTCAGAATATTCCTTCTGGCCTTTGATCATCTCTGTTCTCTCTTTTCAAAATGGCCTGTACACATAGTTTTTTTCACAATTAGGATCATGCATACCATGTCACTTTTTATTTACTATGTTATAAAAATCATATTCTCATATTCTGTAATTTTTTTGTTTTTGTATAGGAGGACTACAAGTGCTAATGATGTTTAATAGTCTATTCTGGTTTGAAGTTGTGAAACTTTTAAATTAGGTCTAAATGATTATTAACTCTCATTAAGTAAAAAATTGTGATAATTTTTTATCCTCTTTTGATATCAGCCTGATACAGAATTTCTGAGTAGGTAATAATCTGGTTACTAAAATTTAAAAAGGTGAAAAAAAATAGAAGTAGTTAGTAGACAACTGCATAGAATAAGAAGCAATGAAAATATTAATCATTTGAGATACAGAAAATGCTCAACCATTTAATGGCTATTTATTATATCTTAATAGTATTTCTACTGGCTTTAACATAGGGAGAGGAATTGTAATTAACTGTTTTATTAATAAATTTATAATGTCATAGTTTGTGTGTATTTACATTACTTTTTTCTTTAACAGTGATTTCTGTACACTGGCAACCATCAAAGTACATAACATAGTGCTCATGATGCAGTAAGTATGAATTTTTTTTGGAAAGAATTTCTTTGTTTCAACTTCAGATGTATAACATTAGCTTAGAGTATACACATCTTTATAAATGCTGTCTCATTTGTATTTTAAGCCTTACATGAGTGCAGTGAGGTGAAGAAAACAGTTTCCCACTTTACACATGAGGAAATGGGAGCTCAGAGAAGTAGTGAAGAACCACATGGCTGCCACGTAGTGAATCTGGACCTTCCGAGAACTCGGGAAGATGCTATAAATTGATACAGAGAGAAGGATGAGCTCAACAGCCAATTCCTTCAGTAACAGTAGTGAAGAGAAACAGTGTTATTGGTTTGCAAGTTGGGTGTTTTCCTAAGCCATGAAAACATTGTCAGTTATAGGTTGGGTCTTTAGGCCATTAGCTAACACCTGATTAACCCTTTTCCTCTGATGAGAGAACTGTGTGAATTTTTTTAAGAGTGCAATGAACTAAATATATTTTTAGCCAAAGATAGGTGTTTTGAAAAAAATTACATTTTTTTGTATATAATTATTTGGATAGGGCTTGCTCAGCCGGCGTTCCTGTTATCTACTGGGGAAGTACTCCCTAAGAGACCCATGTCTACAACATTAAGTTATCATTAATCAAATGACCTCTCCCTGAAAAGAATTTTAATATATAAAGTATTCCCACTTTAGAAAGATTTTTTTATATATAACTATTCAGTGCTTCTCTCCATTTATTTTATTTTTAGAGTTACTGTAACGACAACTTACTTTGGACATTCAGAACAGATATCCCAGGAAAGGTACCAGTATGTTGATTGTGGAAGAAACACCACGTATCATTTGGGGCAATCTGAATATCTAAATGTACTTCAGCCACAACAGTGAAGACTCAGAGATGCACCTGGAGAAAAAAAATACCTATTGATATTTTCCAAACTCTGAAGGATGAGGTACTTCGTGATAGGAGATCTTAAATTGAACAACCTAAAGTTTACACTTCTGTTTTAAGAGTACATCTAAAAATATGTGGACTTGTAGTTTATCACAACTCTCCATTCTGTGTCTGTGATATTTGTACCAGCATCCTTGATTTGAACCTAAATTTACTGATTGATGTTCTTCGCTCCTTTCCCAAAGGGGAAAACTAAGACTTCTCCTTCAGGATAATAGATACTTATTTAAAATTCACAGCTCTAATCACTACTGAAAAGATAATTTTGGTGATGAACATAATTTGAGAAACTTTATTTCTGGATGTTTTTATAGAAAATTACAGAGGGCCTATTACTGATGAAGACATTTAAAGAATACCTTTTCTTTTTTCCTGTTTTATAAACTCCCATTGCTATTTGGTAGTATTTAAACTATGTGCTATTTTAGCTTTTAGCTAAATATTTTTACTTTTTCATTTTGAAATCCCACTCATTTGCATGGTTTTGTCAGTGTTATTTCAAGCTAGTGTTTGCATAACACTTATAAACCAAAATAATTTTTGCAAAATTTCTGTACCTGAAAAATTTTGAAAACCCTTATATAATGTGTTTCACATGTCTTTCCATGTTATAGTTGTGTGAAACTTTTGTGTAATATGCAAGTATAACCATTTAATGTACAGTATTGTAAATAAATTATGCATGGATTCTAAATAGTTGTAATAAATGTTAAAGTGGTACAGATTTAAAATCTAGTAAGTTGCTCATAAAAATTAAAAAAAAAACAGGAAAATGAAATTCAGAAACCTCTAGAATGTGAATATGTTTCCAAATACATATTTGATCAGGTATAACATAGATTTGAAATAAAATATTTTGGTGATCCACTTTTTTTTAATGTTGCTTTTCATACTAAAGAATTATGAAGACACTTTTCACAACTGTTAGGTACTCAGATCATCAATTTTATGAATGTTTTAGAGGTGAAATTATTATTTTGGTAAAATTATCCAGGAAATCCTATTATAAATTATGGTGGCTATAGCAAAATAAAACTTATACTCTGCTTTTTAAAATTTAATTACTTTGCATATCATCGATATCAGGCCTCTAGGAGTTACATTTTTTAAGTTTTCTACTTTTGGTTTAGATTTTGTTTAAAGTTGTTCTCAAGTGTAAATTGTTGACTTACTTTGCTATTTTATATTTTTACTACCATTTTGCATTTGGGCTTTTGGCCTTTTCACTTCCCAGGTTCAGAGTACCTTTTAAATACATGCTGCCGAGCATTGGGGCTGACTGTTGATACCAAAACCAGTCATTGGCTTGAGGTTAATCTCCTTCAGTTCCTTAGTGGCAAATCAGGTTACCCCTCTCTCTGCCCGAAAAGTGCCTGACTTAGGTCTGAAACATTCTTATTTATAAGTCTGACTCTCTCAACTATAAAACATGAGCTTTATTTAATTATAAGTAATTAAAGCTAATGAAGCCCTCCTTTCTGCCTTTAAACCTACTCAGGTTTCCCCTTAGCTCTCATATCCTTTTTTCTAAGTTTTCCTCAATGAACCATTTTAATGGATGAAATGTACTAACTTCTTTTTTTGTTTTTAACTACTTAGTCTCCCCTTAATCCATTGCTAACTCATCCATCCTTATTACTATTAAACTAAAATCACCCCTTTAAATTAATTATGGATTTTGTGGTCCAACCCAATCTTTAATATTTTTTCTGCCATGTTTTTTGACCACCCCTTGTCTCCTTGAAATTGCACACTTCACTACCATGTGGGTTCTATTTGTATTTTTCATATTGTTCTCATTTCATTTTTCTCACTCTCCTATCTTCTGATGTTATTATGAATAGTATCCAGACCCTCTTCTGCCTCAAAATTTCTACTTCTGTGTCTTAAACAATCACCTCCGTTAGTACATCCAGATCCGTTTCTACATCCCTGACCAGTAACCTATCTAGTTTCTCATTTAGCTAATGAGTTAGACTTCCCCAGTAGCTCAGACATTAAAGAATCTCCCTGCAGTGCAGGAGACCCAGGTTTGATCCCTGTGTTGGGACGATCCCCTGGAGAAGGGAATGGCAACACACTCCAGTATTTTTGCCTGGAAAATTCCATGCACAGAGGAACCTGGCAGGCTGTAGTCCATGGGGTGGTAAAGAGTTGGACACAACTGAATGACTGACAGCTTTTAGAGAAAATAGTATTTCAGTGACTGTGTAAAAGGAAAAAATGTTAAAAAAAAAAAACAAAAAACATGTTTTGTCCCATTTGTTCAAAATCATCCTTTCACATATGCCTTCTTCAAAAATCAATCCTTAATTATTTTGCTACTTTGTATCTTTTAACCTTGGAAAACTATATAGTGTAAACTAGTGGACTTTTGTTTTGATATGTAGCTCTAATATCCTTGTAGAGAGGACACAGAGCATCTGCTGAAAAGTCAGGAAAGTTAGAGAACATTTGCTTTTACTGACTTAGTTCTGAATATTTATTCATTCTGTAAATTAAAAATTCCTTATTATTCCTGCTTTCTCTGGCATTCAAATCAGAAAGAAACTGAAATTTAAAATAAGTTAAAGAAAAATAGTAGAGAAATAAAGATCACTTGTGACTATTTTCACAGAGGGTTAAGTAACTGCCAGAGAACCCTAGAGCAAAGTAGGCTGTAAATTAATACAATTACAAAAGCACATTCTAGTGATGCAGACTTATAGCCATTAAAGAAAAAATCTGAAAAGAACAGATGAGGTCATTTCTTAGGTCATTGTCCAGTGCAGTCTCTTACATGGTAATAAGATTTTTTAAGAACTATTCTCAGATCTTATTCAACAAACATGGTAAAGATGTTAATTTTTTTTTTTTTTTTCTGATACTTCCAAGAATAACTTCCTTGCACCTTTAATAGACTGGTCATTCTAACCAAGCCTACATGTTTTGATATTATATTTATATAGCACCATGCCCTTTGCAGAACTCTTGTTTTGTCATATCATTTGCCAGAGTCCTGTGAGTCAGAAAAGGAGGGTGGTAGGAGCCCCATCTTTTAGAAAAGGAAAAAGAGGCATAGAGAAGTTGAGGGACTTGCTGAATATTTAATAAATACTTTAACTGATGCCAGACTGAATTTTTCTGTCTGCCATATCTGTGCTTGGTCAGTTAAATCACCCATTGGAAAGCCCTGTTGACTCAGGTTAGTATAAGTAAAAATCAGAGAAAATAGATACATAGGTAACATAGTGACAGTCCAGTTAATACTAATGAACTAAGATTTTGGATATCTTGAAATTAGTACCTTAAATATTTTCAATGGGAAATGAACACTTGTAAGATATTTTGGAGCATAATCTAGAACTTAATTTTTTTAAGTAGCTTAATTTTCTGTTAAATCTGTGATTATTCCAGTAAAGATAATAGACTAATTATAAAGAAGAGATTAATGGATTTAAGATTTGAAATAAGTTTGAAAATATTAGACCCAGGTAAACTGCTTGCAGTTTCTAAATAGCCATCTTTACTGTACCATGTAACATGTAAATGACCATGGTTTTATTTGTGTGCATTTTTTCCATGCTTTTTTGTTTGTTTAGGCAAATGACATAATTATTTTCTCGAAGAATTCATGACAAGAAAATAAAATTCACTTTAGATCTTCTGGTTTGTAGTTTGGGAACAACACAGTGTGGTGTTCAAATAGATAGGAAGTGATCGCCAAAACAAAATGAAAGTAACTTAAAAGACTTCAGACGTCAGCCTGATGAATCTTTGTGGTTCTTAGTCTTATCATTATTGCAATATAATTCTGGATGTTTCGTGTCCCCAACTTTCTGTCATGCCATTTGACTTTTTTTTTGAGTTTTAAAATAATTTTTTGTATATTGCTATGTCTTATTTAAGAAAATGATTTGCTAGATACTTGACCCCAGAGTAAGTCACTTTTCAGTGTAGCTAATGTTTTTTTTTTACTTTCTGTGTCACATACTGTACTGTACTAACTTTTCTCATTATCCTTCAGAAGAGTCCTTTAAGGTAGTTACTGTCATTACCCCTCCCCCATTTTATCTCTGAGCAAATTTGGGTTTTAGAGAGATTAAGAAATATACATAAGCTTTAAAGTGGCAGATTAGAGATTCATAACAGGTCTGTTTTACTCAAGCATCATTGTTCTTACAGTAAGCATATTTTCTTTCTAGCCTTTGAAAATGTTTTATTCATAAAAATGTATTGGATATTGCACTTAATATGTAGGACTGAGGCTTTTGATAGTATTTTTAAGAATACTATTAAGATACTTTATTATTTTATAAATCTTCAGTATAAAATGTTTATCTTTAATTATTAATGCTTATCTGTTAGGGTTTCTTTCTAAAAGAGATAAAATTTTAAATTTACAGGTACATATGTCTTCCTAGATTGGGCTTCCCAGTTGGCATTAGTGAGATTGTAAGCCAGAGGTTGCTCACCATTTTATGATTTTTTAGCTCATAACATCTGAAAACAGTAACTACTTGGCTCAAATACATCTAAGAATTTTATTTCTTTCTCTTTTTTTGTAATATCAGATTTTAAATAAAATGTTAAACTATTTTAAGGAAAAAATATGTTTGAGGTGGGATAAAAAGACTGTTAAACATTATTTCTTTAAAAAAATTATTTTTACATGAAAACTAGATATATTTGTGATGTGTTCAATCAAAAAATTCACTACTGTATCCCAGATCTACATATTTCAAAGTAAAAATGCTCACTTGTCAGCTGAAATTTCTGATTAGAACCAATATTTGTATATTTTTGTGCTTAGTCAGAATTTAAATTTCACAGTGGATTTTTTTTTCTTGAAATTGACCTTTAATTAGGATGAAAGCAAGTGATATATTTATATACTATAGGGATAAAAATGGTAATTTTCATTTTTAAAAAGCTACCAGTGTGATTATGTTTTTAGTTCCTTTTACTCATGTTTAGCATGGACTTTTAAGTTACAAAATACACTGTGGTCTGTATTGACCCAAAAAGTATTCCATAAATTAAACAAATATATGGCAGGTTTTTCATACCTGAATCTAATTCTTCTAGAAGGAAGTTATTGCCTTCTATTTAATTACATTAATTGAAATGTGTTTAAGAGAAATGTTTTCAGCATATTTTGTATACTAAAAAACAAAAGGGGTTAGTATTGGGCCAATGGCCAAGAGGTAATGTTTCTACCTTGTAGACTGTTACAGTTCAAATTGTCCCACTCCCCCCAGAATTTTAGAAACTAGAAGTCTGGGAGATGCTATGTCAGCTGTCGGCGGTTGACTAAATGCTGTAAGCTGTATTCATCTTTTGTTACTGTGTGAGAAGGGGGAAATGCCACATTGCACAAGATGCATAATTTCATTGTATAATGATTTAGGCATATAATATCAGCAAGCTTGTCTTGTGTGTTTTGTCTTATATTTCCTCATAGAACTAAATTAAGTAAGATTTTGGGAAATCATTTTAAAATGCTTTCTGACTTGACATGCTTGGTCAGAAATTGTTGGCATTGGTGGGTAGGTTCTAACCAGTGATTTTAATTGTGCAATAAATAATGATAGAGTGTGAGACTATGTTTGGGCACTTACTATTTGTTTATATTAGGTATTAACCTCCATTATAACATACTAAATTTCCAAGTTGAGCAGTTCTGTAGTTTTAACTATTGTTGCTGTACCTATAACAAAACATACTTATGACAGTAAAGTGAATAGAAGTGCCCCCAAATACTATTTTTTAATTCACTTGTAACTGTTCCTCTTGTAATTGTGTATGACAAAATCAAATTTGTAAAAATTTTAGCATGAAAAATAAAATTTGTATCAGTCAAGTGTCTTGGTTATGCTTTTGAAATTGATTTTTTTCATCTGCCTCCCTTCTAATCTGTTGCCTAATATAATACTGTCTAGTCTACTAATGTCTCTGAAATCTGTCTTGTAGTTGAAACCTCTATTGCTATTAGTCCCTAATTTTTTTTACTGAATAAAGCCCTAGTCCCAACTGTGGTGTTGGGAATCTCTTTTCAATCTGGCCACAACCTACAATTCATAGTGTTTATTTCCTGTCATTGCCCCTCCCTTATGCCCCAGGCAAACTGAGATGTTTCCCATTCCTTGGAAACATTCCTTTCCTTTGTCCACACTTTGCTCATTCTCTTTTTCTAGAACATTATTTAACCATTTCTTTAGTCTCCCAAACTTCTTTTCCAACACCCTGCTCAGATGTCCTACCCTGCTCTCCTTTTCATCGGAACTTTCTGAAATATTTGGTGACATTTTTCCACTTGTGTACTTTTAAAAGAATTGCCTAATCACAAAGAATATTTTTTATTTTGTTTTTGAACTCTAACTTTTTGTTTTGAACTGAACTTAAAACTTGTTTTAAACTTATAATCATTATTCAAATGCATTTTGCTAGCTTAGAATTAGTGTTTTTAAAGGTTTTAAAAATCTTTTATCAAGTCGCATGATCTGAAGTTAGATGAAATGTGATCTGTAGTATCTTGGTGAAAAAAATATTTATTATGTGCATGTGCATTTCCTAGCCAATTTCTCAAGAAAGAAGAACAAATTCATGAGGTGTTTTTCTTTTTTTTTTTTTACCCCTGATAGATGTCTGTTTTTTGTTCAGTGACTTTCAGAATTTTTTTTAAGTTACAAAACCTATTTTTTTATACAAAGTCTTATGTAGAGCCCCAATAAGTGGCAAAACAGAGCCGCTTTGATGTTATTGGGGGAAGACCCACAATCCCTCACTATCCATCTTCCACAATGGACCCCGAAACCATTGGTCTAGAGTATGATGTCCAGTCACTTCTTTAATGATAACAGTGCAGTTTAAAGCTGCTCTGGCTAATGACTGAAATATATTTCATAACTGGGCAAGTAAAACCTTAAATTTATGTTTATATTTTAAAAATAGCTTTGAAAATGACAAGGGAAAATATATTTCAAATGGTTAGTCTTCAAAGGAAACTTTTTTTAAAAGTTTGGGAAATGTATCTTAAAGTGATTTTGTAATGAACAGTTGAAGGTTTATTTTCATTTAATGAGTTTCACATTCTAATAGAATATATTGATAATAACTTTTTTAATTTCCACAAAGAGATTAGAACTACCTAGAATTCTAATACCAAATCTGTTTCAGATATTTAATTCTTAAATATTAAAGGGTACATTCTCTAAATAAAACTGACCTTTTTGTCTTAATAATTTGTCAATAACTTCAGAATAAAAACAAATGCTATCTGTAAAAACCTATAAAAAGTCAAGAATGAGCTTAAAGTCAGATTTCTTTAAATAAGGTAATTGGTCTGCAATGCAGGAGACCTGAGTTTGATCCCTGGAAAAGGGAAGATCCCCTGGAAAAGGGACTGCCAACCCACTCCAGTATTCTTGCCCAGAGAATTCCATGGACAGAGGAGCCTGGCCAACTACAGTCCACGGGGTTGCGAAGAGTCGGACCCGACTGAGTGACAACACTTTCATTTTTCACTCAAATGTAAGCTTTCATGAATTTGAGATAAAGTCTTTTATTCCAGAAGTTATTTGTTCACATATAAAGTATAATTTTTTTTAAGTTACACTCTTACTTGTTTATATGTTAATTTTAATTTTGTTCTTATGGATAATCTTGTGTTTTTTGAGTTAAGTAATATGGAATTTCCTAAAATTTTGAATATTCATGTTACTTATCACCATGTTAAAAGCATTGCCTTCTTCGACATTTTTTCCTTCCTAAAATACTAGCTGACTCTTTGATAAGTTGTGCATAGGTTTAAAAAGGTAGAAGCAGTTGCAACACCCCTGAACCATGGAATTCCCGTTCTTTTTTCCATGCCTTTTACTTTCTTGCATAGCATCTATCTCTGTGTGAAATACTATACATATTTACTGATTTGCTTATTGTCTGTATACATATAATTAGAAGAGGTATTTTTGCCTATTATATTAATAGCTGCAGTACTCATTCATCTACCACTCCAATTACTTAGCACTCAAATACTTGTCAATGAAAGAAAACCTTGAAATAACAGATTTTTACAGAATTTTTTAAAATTTTAATATTTTCAAGATCTTTCATTTGTAATAGTTTGAAAACATATATATAGTATGTATCATCATCTGTGACTTGACTCAAGAGAGGGCATCAAACATTGCTGTGGAATTAAAGTCAACTTATTCTTCATACAGTCTTCTACTGTAAGTCAAACTGTCATTTTAATGAATGAAGAAGGTTGTATGAAAGACCACATTGACTCATTTAAATAGTCTTATTTTGATACTATTTGAATTTTATCTTTTTTTTTTTTTACTATTTGAATTTTAAAGAGAAAGCTTATGGCTCTTACAGAAAAAAAAATGGAAAAAGTATATTGTGCTATTTATTTACATTAGGGAAAAATTGTACAGTTTACACACACAAGTCATACATTTACAGACATTTTCTTTAATTAATGTTACTCTATAATTGGAGAGGAAAAGTTAAAATTTTACATAACCTCCTGCTCCTTCTGCTTCTGTAACTCAGCTTGTTCCTTGTGAAGTCTGGATCATGTAGGTCTCAGAAAATGGGTACTGACAATACTAGAAACTGGAGCTTATCTCACTTGCCCTTGTCCTGCTCTTTGCAATCACCCAGCCCCTGCAAACCCACAAACCCGCCTAATCATGCCTGTCCGTGTATAAAAACTCTGTAACCCCTTTGTCTGGGGCTCAGAGCTTTGCCTGCCGGTGTATTCATGTATTCATGAGTTCTCCAACTCCAAGTGTGGTGCTTGGCTTCTCAAGTACTGGTTTCTGCAACATAATATTTGTGTTTATTGAATACTTGTAAAGAAATATAAATGTGATAGACTGAAAAGTTACCTCAGGAGCCAATGTGTTTAAAGAAGTAAAATTAATCTTCAAATAGCTAAAATGTTAAGAGCTATTTCTGTCAATGCACTTAATGAGCATTCTTTATGCATTATTTTATGTAATTCCTACAGCCTTATGATGTCATCTATTATTGCTACTTTTCATTTTACAGTTAAGAAAACTGAAACTTAGATCAATTGGTATTTTAATTTTGACTTGAACTTTCAACCAGAAAATAACTTATTAATGTCAGGAAAGCAATGCATTGCTTTTGATGCCTTTTACTCTTGGTTTTCAGTTATATCTACTTTTATCATTTTAAGATTTATCAAAGGCAAATGTTTTGTGTTAATAGTATCATAATTTCCTTTTCATAAAAAATATTTATCATATGTTTTAGAGTATGTCTAAAGACATAAGTATGATGCTTAGAATTGCAAGTCTAAAAATGATGTAGTGGTGGGTACCCAAAGTTTTAATTCAGTAAATTTTGAGCAACAACTGCATATAAGTCACTGAATTTGGTACTATAGGGGATACAAAGATGAAAGTAATACAGTCCCAACTTCAAAGAAAGACAGTTTAGTTGCCATGAATACAGTGGATCCCTACCTTTATCTCTTCCACACTTCATCCTCCTATTCTTCAGTGTTTAACTCAGTACTGTGTTTGAGAAGAGAGTTGGAGTACAATGGCATTTTGGGGGACTGGGAGAATGGGGTACAGGGTAAGGAAGACCAGGAGAGTCTAAGCATAGCTGTCCAATCAGTGTACTGCAGATGTGTTATAGGTGCCAGCTTACTAGCAGCCAGGTGGCCTGGGGCTGCTTGCCATCTCAAGTTGTAAGCATTCTTGTTAGCTTGTCCTGATGGACTGAACAAATATTTTCTAAGAACACTATGGAGGGAAAATGTTGGAAAGTCCTGTACTTGAAGGAACTGATGAATGAAATAATACCTTTGTTAATCATATTAACTCTGACAGGAAGCATGTGGCATTAGAATACACCATAGTATTATTCATATTTTCCCTTGAATCAACTCTGGGTTTCAACTTACATCTGCATTTATCATCTATGACTTATTAAAGAGAAAGATACAGATATTATATAAATAAATATATGTATATATATAAAATCTTAGTTCTAAGTAATATGAAGATAAAAATGATTTTTGAGGACAATCTTCTTATCATCAGTACTGGATATAGGCACATAGTGATTTACAAGGAGTTCAAAATGAATATATACAATGAGCCACTTAAAACATTTGTTTTGAGGCTTCCCAGGCTCAATGGTAAAGAATCTGCCTGCAATGCAGGAGACCCAGGTTTGATCCCTGAGTTGGGATGATCCCCGGGGGGAGGGAATGGCTACCATCTCCAATATTCTTGCCTGGAGAACCCCGTGGGTAGCGGAGCCTTGGCAGGCTACAGTCCACAGAGGTCACAAAGATTTGGACATGACTGAGTGACAACACACATTTTGAGGAAACATGATTTTAAATGTAGGTTTGTTCAAATCCTCTTTTCACTTTCCAATTGTAGAAATACAATATTCAAGGACACTTGCTGTTGGTGGTAATCATTTTTATTTAGTTTATCTAGAGCTGTAGACCAAATCCCAGCAGCAAAGTACTACTGTGACTTGTTTAACAAACTACACATTTAAGTTTTTGGACAGTTCACTCTAAGAGGATTACAGTTGAACTGCAGATGTTTAGCCAGGCCAGTTGGCTGTATCCAGAATTAAATGGAATTCTAATTAGAACAAATAACATATATATTCATCTGTATTATCCTAATCAAAATCCTGACAAAAGTTTTCATGGAACTTGACAAGCTAACACTTAAGACTCAGATGGAAGAATAAACAGTCAAGACTAGCCAAGAAATGGAGAAGGAAATGGCAACCCACCCCAGTGTTCTTGCCTGGAGAATCCCAGGGACGGGGGAGCCTGGTGGGCTGCCGTCT